TTAGTTCGTTCCTACTCTACCGTTTGTTCACTGTTAAAAATAAAAATGCATACCAACCTGACTGCACTCACACCAAGGATAATACACACTACTTTTACAGGATAGCCTATCCTCATAGGGCCTGTGTAGAACAAATCTGAAGCCCCCACCAAGCCAAATCACCAGTTGTTACGTAGTAGCATGTCGTTTCTTGCCTTGACGGCATCACAGGTTATGAATGCGCGGGCTTTTGCTTTATGCATACTTGGTTTTACTACATTAATTACCATTCTAAAACAACTCCTTTTTAGATCTCGTTTGCATCTTCCTCTTTGCCCAAAATTCCTAAAGTTAATAGGTTGTCTGGTAATGGGTAACTTGATGACACATCTGGGATCCCTTATGGAGATTTGCATTACGTTTAGGCATACAGATGACGTAATAAAAGTTATCAGGCAACCTCCCTCTTTTAAACAACCTTGCTCTTTGCCTATTATGTTAATCAAAAATTAAATGATATTTTTCATCATAAATTTAAATTCTAAGACTTAGTTAATGACGTCGGCAATGGTGATACACTAATATGGCCGCGATTACCAAAAACGATGCCGATAAGCAATCCTTAGTATTATGTATTATCCTTGCACCACTCCACCATACATTCTAAACAAGAAACAACACAACTAATCTGTAATACACCAAAGCGTTCCAAAAATGCATTAGAAAAATCTTGTGACCGGCTTATTCAACTGGTCAATTTATTGGTGAAATTTCGAAAGTGTCCTTTGTGTGCCTCTTAGCGGACATTTTAATTTAAGTTTGACGGCGTTTTGGATAGTCTATAGGGAATCCAACCAAGGATCAATCCTACCAACGATTACACACACTACTACTACAGGATAGCCTATCCTCATAAGGCCTGTGTGGAACAAATCTGAAGCCCCCACCACGCCAAATCACCAGTTGTGACGTAGGCAGCATATCGTTTCTCGCCTTGACGTAGGCTGTTTGCACCACAGGTTATGACTTATGATTTCGCGGGCTTCTGCTTCACGCACAATTGGTTTTACTACATTATTAACACTTTGAAACCACTCTTTTTTTAGATCTCATTATCATCAAACAGCTGACAACTTATTTAATGACGTCGGAAATGGTGACACACCAATAAGCAATCCTTAGTAGTGTCTTATTATCCTTGCAATCCAACGACCTGTCAAAACATAAATTTAATATGGCGGCAACGGTCAAACATATGTGATGTATGTGTGTTTGCTTTCTGTTTATACACTACGAAAACACGAAAATAATCCTCCTTCAGCAATAGAAATTCCTTTAAAACTCCACAAAATACACATAGCAACTAGACACGCTTACCCTGGAGGTAAAACCAATCCGGGGGTGACTCGCTATTGAGAAACCGGCCCCTAATCGGGCAGAAACTAGATATTTTTTGTGTTTAGTTTTAGTGTTCTAAAAATGCCGAAAGTGTGGTTGTGGGATCGTTAGCGCAGGGGCAATCAAACGGAACGATCTTTCACAATCTAAAGTGGTAAATCAGAGAGTTTGTAATAAGCATTTTATCACAAAAATAAACGAGTGTTATTTTGCATCATGTCTTCAACCATCATATTAGGGTTTTATAATAGGAAAATCAATAAGTGAAGTTGGAGGATGTGGATAATCCTGACTGGACACCAAGTTCTTGCAAATATAAGGCGTATTTTAGCGACAGGTAAACATCATACTACACATACTACGATTCATGACGTCATAGTTACTCAAATAACAGGGCTGCGTTCAGTAATGGCTACAGCCAAGCCAAAATTGGCATTTTGCGTTCGAGTTCGGCTCCAACCTACCTGGTTTGGGTTTGGCATTACCGGTGGAGGGGGAAAAGTAGGTTTTGGCATTAGCTTTGCCGTCCTTGAACGCACTCCAGGTGGAGTGTATTTGACAAAGGATCTAAGAGAGGACGCAATAGTTCTTTTCACGTGCTCCGGTTTAACTAACCGGGTTACAAAACGGTTAGAGAAATGACATACCGGTTACAAAGTGACGTGATGGATACCTACCACTCGAATTTGAGCGGTATGTTGCGGTTTGTTAAACCGGAGCCACGTGAAAAGGGTTAATGATCGTTGTTTATTTGGATTTGTTGAATTTTGCAAAATTTTGCGTTTTCGAGTTTCAATAATATTTCTCCAGTGAAGATTTTCGATAGATTGTGGTATTTTTGAATTTTATGGGGAACCTATGCCAAAAAAAAAATAGAATTACACTTTTGTGCACAAAGTGAATATTTTTTTTTTGTGCAAAAAACCTCTAAAAAAAATCACAGAAAATCATGGTAAAATGAGGAAAAACAATCCTCGATTCATAATGGAAAGAACTGTGTCGGTAATCGTAGCGTAATCAGCTGATGTTTTGCCCATATGCTCATTTTCGTGTATTAGAAAAAGCTGCACTGACATACTACAACCAGTAACTATCCCTCGTAGGATGGTTACATGTTTACTGCCGAGTTTTATGTTGTGTTTTATGTTGTGACGTCATAGTATGTTAGCCATGATCGCTAAAATGTAATATCCCAAGTAAATACAACATACTACTGGGTTAAAATTCTCGCTAAAATACGCCTATAGGCTCTGAAATGATAATATCTTCTCGTATTGCACTTAACAGATTTACTCCTCAGTCCTCACAAATACCCCTTAAAAAGCATATAAAACTGTGAAACTCCGAAAACACAACAACTAAAAAATGAAGTTTGGCCTATGTGTGGCCGCCACGCCATCTTGAATGTCACGTGTTTAGATCAAGGATAATACCGGGCGTGTTTGGGTTGACGCTCGGCGGAGCGAGCAAAGCGATTACGGAGTAACGTGACGTCATAGGGGGTACACCGTGTCAAGCCAAATAAACCCGTGCAAAAGTGCCGAGTTGAGCGATCAGCTGATTATTGTTTATTTTTTTAGGATATATTTTTTGGAGTCCGAGCCCGCACTCCGCATTCGCACCAGAGTTTTCTCGTTTATTTTTTATTTTAGTCGATAATTTTCAAACAGCCTCATTTTCTTTTGTGTTCTGCTAAAAATATCGTGCTACATAAACAATAAAATGGACCTAAACACTCTGAGGCTGCCAAGTTCCCTTGGAAAAATATGTTCAATATTGCCAGTAATGATGACTACTGAGAAAATTCAATTGACCTTTTCAATTTAAAAGCCTCTCTCTCTGGCATCAAACTGTCAGACGCCAAAAGAGTATGAAAACAATGGTTGACAGCCGTTGACAGTGGTTTGTAGACAAGACTTTTGAAAGAAACTATTATTTCCTCGGGTTTTTCAAGGGTTTTTCTTAACAATGGTGATTGTGTGTAGTGTGCCTATCCATAAAACTAATTCATATTTATTCCTATTCACCGACGGACGTGTTCTTCCATAAGTTTCCATCAAATCCTATATTTGTCAAAACTTGGATACACAAAATCAGAATGCAGAAAGAATACTCGCAAAAAAAAAGGGAAATCCACGGCCCATCAAGTATACAAAGTAATCGTTCAAGTTTAGTTTACAGAAGCTGTTTGCTTCCAAAATAATCCACCACCGGCTCCATAGCGAAGTTCTGCGAATGAAGCAGTGACTTTTCCAACAAAATGAGGGGATTGCTAAACACCCAATACACATTGACATTGACAAGCAAGCAAATTTTGGCGGAAAAATGAGTGTTTTCATACTTATCGTCCATCTCTTTTAATTGAAAACGTCAATTAAAAGTAAACACATTTGATCTGCGCATGCACGCTCCAGCTGCCCACTCCACAAACTCTGAGTTTATCGAGCTCGCTCGGAGCACTCAAAATATGTCAAACCAAACACAATCAAGCGTTGTCGGAGCTTCAAAAATAACGGAAGAGAGACAAAAGTGCACGCTCTGAGTGCACCGATCGTCAACCCAAACGCGCCCGAATGAACTATAGCCAAAAACTGGAATGCGCACACATTGCCATATCTGCCTAAAAAATGAAGCCATGAAAGACAGATGCCACAAAGGGGAATGTTGTTTTTTTCTGTTGCTCGCTGACATATGACGTTTTGCAAAGTTTTGTCATATTTACCTTCACAGGTTTCATCAATGGAACTCTCTCATGCAATGAACAACAAGGATAGTTTTTAAAGATTTCTGCAATAAAGAAAAAGACACATATAATGACGCGCGATACCTGTGTGGAATGACTTTGATTGGTTCCACTTGTCAAATTGAGCAATTTCGGTTATGTTTCTGTTTTTGTTTATTTTTAAATGTAAATATGACAAATATGTATTAACATTAATTAGAAAGAAAGTCCCAACTTAAATCGTCTTCATTCGGGTTGAGAGCACGTAACTATTGTTTTCTTAAAATTTGATTGCCTGGGAACTTGTGAGAAGGAAGGTTTGACTTCTTTTTCGCCTTATTCTGACAAGATCTCATCAACACATTTGAATCATTGTATCATGAACAGTTTTTGTAATAATTTTTAGCAATATTGATTGATATTGATTGATTATTGAGGTTAGCTTAAATACGTCAGGGTCAGACCGCGTTCAGTAAATCGACGATTTAATTATCTGTCACCCACAAGCGGCGCGAGCAGCACAGGTAAAATGAGAAAGGTCCATTGGAATACATGTTGGAAGCAATTTCCGCCATTTAACATAATGAGTGCGACAAAAACAGGTATCCCCTCCGCAGCAGCGGCACTAGGCTTCACGTTCGTCAATATGTGTTCGCATTCCAGTTTTTGGTTATAGTTCATTGGATAATACACACTACTACTACAGAATTATCCTTTTCATGTACCAGAAAATCGACCTAAAAAATCAAAAAAATATAGAGACAAAAGTTTTATAATAGCAAAAGAGGTAGAAACAATATTTTTGGCCTCAATTTCATTGCTTGGCCATGGCCGCCATATTGATTTATCGCACCTGACGCAACTTCCCAATATTTGTCAAGTGTCACTACACTACAAGTAGCACCATCTATTTGTTTTTTTAGGAAATTAAGTTAGGTTAGATTCAACGCAAAAACAGATAGGATTCAGGGCCCCCCCGGCCTCCTTACATGTCATTATTTATGGACAAATTATTTGTATAATTTGGAAAGTTCTCCATAAATTAATTTAGAGAAGAAAAAAACGCGATAAAATGGAAATGGACGAATCAGCCCGAGCAGTAATATTATTATTAGATAGAACGAATTCGCAAGAAGTTACCAAAGCAGAAAAATTCCAAATCGTGGAGAAAATGAAGCAAAAAACGAAAAAGCTACAGAAGAGGTGTTCTATAAGTGCGGCTGCAGTATATCGAGAGGAATTAGAAAGAGGAATAAAAAAGCAAAGGAACTCGATAGTTTTCGAGACAGTTACCGGATCACATCAGATCAGCCTTTGCAGCTGTGACAACATCAAAGCTGCCAACACCGAACAAGGGAACAGTGAGGCAGCAATTGCGGAAACAAAAGCAAAATGTACTGAAATTTCAATAAATGCCGAAAAAGAGCTGTTTCAATTGAATGATCTGCAAGAAGACAAAATTGCGGCTCAAAGGGAAAACTATCAACAATTGACAGAACGTAGCCAGGAGCTTAATCAGGACTTGAGAAAAGAATCCGCGATGCCCAAGTCACCCATGTGCATTGGAATATCAGGGCTGGACTGCAGTAGGGAAACTGCTGAGAACTTGGCCAAAAAGCTGAATGACTTTCAAAATTCAACGAAAACGACACAAGAGAAGATAAAGAAACTGGATAGCATAATTTCAAGATATGAGTAAGAAGGTAAATACATACCTACAACCGTTTAGTTATGACGGTTTTACATAACTATTTTTCTAGTACCTATTTGAGTACTGTTATGAGCATGGGCATAGCTAAGGGGGGCTGAGGCCTGCTGGCAAAAGCCCCCTCTGACAAGTTCTACCTTTTATACTTTTATAATTTTTTTGAATCAACGGGGCTTGAAAAAAAAAATTACTTAATGCCCTGTTTCCTAACCAAAAGATATTGTTACATAAATTTAAAACAAAAATGCTAAAAAGGGCATGGAACTCTCAGCGCATACCCCATCATAAGTCTCACGAGCCACCACTGATAATATTCCATCCATATTTCTTCAGGTGCTCAAGCCCCCCAGGTAAAAAAGTAGGCTAGCTACGCCCATGATTATGAAACCCATAACACAACTAGTTTTTGTCATCAATAGTGAAAAACAACTACAAATCGCCCACAGGGAGAATTTAAAACGTCATGATGCAATTCAGACCATAGTTAGTTCTATGCACAGGTGGAGAAGGAGTTGCCTCTGTCTGGTTCTTCGTACCAGAAATCCAATTTCTGTCAGAGGTTGAGGTGAGTTGAGCTGTTCTAGCATAGGTATTTCTAATTTGTTCTCTCATTCTAAGATTGTAGTTGTGATAGCCTCTATTCAGTGTGGTCTGCACATTTGTTTTAATTAGCTGCCTTTGTATTTTGTACATAAGTTTTGCCGGCTCAAACAGCTTCAACTGATCAATTTTTAGATAGGGATACTGCCAGTATGGGTGTCTAGAGAATATTGTTTTTATTGATTTGTTTCGCAGTCTTTGTAGCTGTTTTAATTGTTCCTGGGTAGCATTTACATAGCATGGTATCATATACCTAAAGTGTGGCTCAATGAAACTATTATGGATTAGATCGAGGATTAGATATTTTGAGTTTTCATTTAGCATATGTCTACACCTCCTCACAGCCCCCAAGAATGGAGCAATTTTTGCATGAATACTTTCAATGTGTGCTCCCCATGTCAGTTTGTCTGTTATAGAGTCCGTCCATAAACTACAGTAGCGCCCTCTTTTGACAGCAATGTAAGTTCTTGTATTATGGCAAGTGCTTGATTCCATTTACACAAATGTATTTTTTTTTATTAATAACGATTTCAAAGCGAAATATTTTTCATTATAAAAATAGAATATGGAAATCGTGACTGACTAGTATAGAACACAAACTAGTGAAAATTTTCAAGATTAAAAATCTTCTTCGTGGGGTTGCAGTCAAAGTTTTTTGGACCAGGGACAAAATTAAAACATTTGTTGCTTAGTCAAGCTTTCGGAAACTCTTTATTGCCTTCGTCAGGACAGCCTAAAAGTTGTACAATATTTCCTTGTTATAAAATATAAATATAGTAATAAAATAAAAACTTACAACTTAGTTTTACTTAAAATATAAAGAAGCATTCCTAGGGGACCAGAAACATCAAAGAATACATAAGCGTGAGTGGTAATTGGGAAAATTTCAACCCTGTTTTTTTGATTTGTTTTCTTTCTTGTTTCCTTCAATTTATATAAACATCATGTGTAACAATTATTTTAAACCAGGAAAACCGGACCTTATAAGCCAGAAAAGAGGAGCCAATTCACTATGCTCTGTCCGAGATAATTGTTAATATAATTCTAAAATGTGTCTTATTTTATTTTTCAATTTTTTTATGTTACTGACGTTGCGTTTTTTTTATATTTCTGTTGTATGAAATGGTCTTCACTCTCCATTTTGTTTTCTAGATTATTAAGGTTAAAATAAGACACATTTTAGAGTTATATTAACAATTATCTCGGACAGAGCATAGTGAATTGGCTCCTCTTTTCTGGCTTATAAGGTCCGGTTTTCCTGGTTTAAAATAATTGTTACACATGATGTTTATATAAATTGAAGGAAACAAGAAAGAAAACAAATCAAAAAAACAGGGTTGAAATTTTCCCAATTACCACGCACGCTTATGTATTCTTTGATGTTTCTGGTCCCCTAGGAATGCTTCTTTATATTTTAAGTAAAACTAAGTCGTAAGTTTTTATTTTATTACTATATTTATATTTTATAACAAGGAAATATTGTACAACTTTTAGGCTGTCCTGAAGAAGGCAATAAAGAGTTGCCGAAAGCTTGACTAAGCAACAAATGTTTTAATTTTGTCCCTGGTCCAAAAAACTTTGACTGCAACCCCACGAAGAAGATTTTCAATCTTGAAAATTTTCACTAGTTTGTGTTTCATTATAAAGGTATGGTTGTTTACACGGAACAATTGTATTTAATTTCACTTTTTTTCTTGTAATTATTATTTGCCAAACGCTTTTTATTATCATTTATTCAGGCTATTGTGCATACCCACTACTTGTCATGCCTTTACCCAGGAACAGGGGTCGTATTTTCGAATTCATTCGAGTACATTTCGTACACGAAATTTGACTGACAGCAATGTAAATTAAATGGGGTGCACTCGACGAATTTGATACGATTTTAACAAATTTGTATGCGAGAATATTCGAAAATACTTCTACACTTTTCCTAGTCACTGAGTTTTCGTATTAGTCCAGGAGGTGGAGCCAAAAACATGCAAGAGTTTTCGCAAGGCGGATATTTTCAAAATAGGTCGTACTTTAGTGCTAGAATGCTAGTGTACAGTCAGCACTCACAGTTCCGGGACAGCTAGCTCTGGGACGCGGGCAAAGTTGTAATTTTAAGAAGCATCTAAACTGTTTTCTCAAAGCTCAAAATTTATAGAAATTTTGCACAGTATCTGTTTGAAGGTCACAGATAACGTATGTAAATCGTCAGACGTCTAGTTCGTTGCAAAAAGGGGGTCAGACGTCCTCAAAGTTTTTATTTTATGGCATTTTCTTCAAATATATTTGTCAAATACCTGCAAAAATATATTTTGACAGGACACCGAAGAAAATGCCATAAAATAAAAACTTTGAGGACGTCTGACCCCCTTTTTGCAACGAACTAGACGTCTGACGATTTACATACGTTATCTGTGACCTTTAAACAGATAATGTGCAAAATTTCTATACATTTTGAGCTTTGAGAAAACAGTTTAGATGCTTCTTAAAATTACAACTTTGCCCGCGTCCCAGAGCCAGCTGTCCCGGAACTGTGAGTGCTGACTGTACACTAGCATTCTAGCACTAAAGTACGACCTATTTTGAAAATATCCGCCTTGCGAAAACTCTTGCATGTTTTTGACGCCAGCTCCCCCACTATATTGATTTATGGTCTTTTTTTTTCATAAAATAGATTTTGACATTGTCAACTTTGAAACATAAACAATACCTCTTGGCTCTGATTGGTCGCAAAATGAGGTGTCCCTGCAGGTTGACATCATGGTGATTTCCATTTGCCAGTCAGTGCGCAGTGAGTGTATCCGCATCTTTTTCTAAAAGCATGCAACATGTATGGATAAGGATAAAAAAAAATTTGCACTGGTTCGACAAATGGAAATTGCTATCAGTGCAAATGGCATGTTGCGACCAATGAGCGGCATTGTTTATGTTTCAAAGTTGAGGATGTCAAAATCTATCTTGGGGAAAAAAAAAAGCCTGTAGTTATAGTCTGGCTAGCCAAACGGCGAACTCCAAAAGAATTTGCTGTTTTGCCAAACTTGACGGAAACAATGATAAACAAGTTAGTGACATATTTTTTTTGCTGTATGGGCATGTGTAGTATTTCGTAATAAAAAAAAATCCGGCAACATTGCGAAATGATGGATGTGGAGAAGCGTGATTATTCAGAGGCATGATTCTATTGGTTAGATTCTGAACGACAGCACGCAGTGGCGTGGTTATTGGCGAAACTAGATCATTTTTTTCCTAATAATTTTATTGGTTTATTTCCTTGGTGTTTTCGGTGCCACTGAACCCAAAGACATGGTTGTCATGAGGCGGTGTCAGTTGAGGTGTCAGTGAATATTCTTAGGTTACGCCCCACTTTTCTTCCCCCTTTCGTCTCTACCAAGTTACCACTTGCCAAACTATACTTTACTCTTTATCGTTTTAAGATCCAATTCAAAAAGTACTAAAATGTGGGAGCCAGAAAGACAGTCGAGGATTTGTAGCGTCCATTTTATTGTTATATCTACCTGTAGCTCAACAGCATAAGGAGAGCTGTTTATGGAGGTTTGGCGCATAACATGCCCTTTCAAAATGGATAAGTCTCCTCCAACTTTTCGTTCAACTACTTGCAATATATGTTCAGCTTTCACTAGATCCACACCTTTTTTGTATGCAGCTTCGTAGTGATTAAATTTGATATTTCGGAAACCAAAATGTATTTCTAGCTCCATTTTTCGAAATTCTAGTGAAAATTTGACAAACTATTAATACAAAAACTTTTGACATCTCTCACTAGGGGTCGCGAATTTCAATTTGTGACCGGTCCCTATTATGAGATCTAAGTATTTATATTGCTCCATTTTTTTCAGAATTTTGCCATTAATTTTAATTGTCGGGCTTATTGTTTTTTTTTTCCCCCAAATTTATAAATAAATAAATAAATAAATATCGCCTTTATTTAACTCCACGAAGGGTGCAAAATGGCGAAGTTTAACCTTGTGGCCATTCTTCCACTTAACCACTTGCACCAGACCCACTAATACCTAGTTACAGAAACAACACTAAAGCCCTAAGAACATTTTCATCCAGCTCCAATACTACTCGAGAAATTTATTCCCTACTAAACTTATATAAACTACTGTATTGCTAACAAATGTTGCTTATATCTAGATCTCAGAAAGCTAAAATTGCACTCTTTAAATTGCCCAGGTAATTTGTTAAAACATTTCACAGAATTATAAGTAAAACCCCGTTGAAACAATGAAGTTCTATGATGTGGCATTGTTAGAAAATTTTTATCCCTTAAACTACGACTATGCACAGCCTCTCTAAAAGTAAAATAAATAGGTTCTTTGTTCATTATTAACTTTCTTAAAAATACTGCAATATTATAATTATAACTATTATCACATTTGAGCCAACCCAACGCCTTAATATTAGCAGAAACATGATCAAACTTTCTTAATTTATATACAAATCTACAACAAGTATTTTGGACATATTGAATTCTTTTCCTAGTAACGGCATTCAAAAATGGGTAGTACACTATAAAACAATAAGAATATATAGACATAATGAGAGCTTCACATAATTTTTTCCTAGTTTTAAAGTTTAATATATATCTATTCGCGTATAGCAGTTTCATTTTCATATAACTTTTTTTTAGAAGAGTTGAAATATGTTTCTGAAAGGATAAATTTATGTCTATATATATGCCCAAATTTTTTCCACAGTTTGCAAATACCAATACCTCTCCATCAATTTCTATAGAGAGCCTATTTAAAAGACTACTTCTTTTGCCCTCCGAACAAAAAAGCAATATTTCAGTCTTATTGGGATTAATCTTCAAGTTGTGCTCCCTTGAAAATTTGACTACATTTGACAAGTCCAAATTCAAGAGCTCCGCGGCCCGCTCCGGATAATCAGGATCAAAACTAAACAACAATTGTGTGTCGTCTGCATATGACTGAATATGAGAAAATGAAGCACTTGAGAACATATCTGCTGTATAAATAATGTACAACAACGGCCCCAATATAGACCCCTGGGGTACCCCTGAGACAACACTTTTTGGCTGAGAGATGTTTCCATGCAACCTGACAAACTGTCGACGATCTCTCAAATAGCTCCCAAAAAAAGAACAAGCCCTCTCATCGAACCCATAAAAAGATAATTTGGCACACATTAGATCATGGTCTATAACATCGAACGCTTTAGAGTAATCTAACAAAACCAAAATAGCAGCCATCTTTCTATCAAGTATTTTTACAATATTATCGGTAATATTCAAGAGAGCTGTAGTTGTGCTGTGACCCCCCCGAAAGCCTGATTGGTGTACTGGAAAAAACTTATTATTATTGAAATATTCTGTTATCTGGGCATGTGCTACTTTTTCCAAAATTTTAAAAATAACAGGAAGCAAACTGACTGGTCTTAAATCCGAGAAATTAACCGGTTCAGAATAAGATTTGGGCAGGGGACAGACAATGGAATCTTTCCACTGGTTGGGAAAGTATCCCCTCTCAAGGCAGCAATTTAAAATGTGGGTAATATGTAGTATAACAACATGTAAACATTGTTTCAACATTTGTAGGGTGATGCCATCAATACCAGCTGCGTTCGATTTCATACTATGAATGTACTTGCAAACTTCAGATGGAAGCACCATGCCAAAAGTAAATTTAATTTGATCATCTTTCCTATTACCATTATAATACAAAATTCTACTAATACAGTTGTTTGTTTTTAGAAAAACACTGCAGAAATACCCATTTATTCTTTCTGAATCCGCCAGTGCTGGAGGAATATCTGAGATTTTATTCGTTGGCATATAAACATTTAAATCCCTTAAAGTTTGCCAGACTTTTTTGGAATTTTTCTGCCTTTCTAAATAGTCTAGGTATGCTGACTTTTCTCTACGTATTGATATTTTAGTGAAATTTCTGAGTCTTTTATATTCATCAAGATTTTCTGCAGTTTTATTCATTTTAGCCTTGCATCTAGCCTTATCCCTTTCCCTCATCAACGCTCTAATTGCAAAAGTGAGCCATGGGGAATAGGGCTTACTTACTCTAATCGTTTTAATTGGTGCAAATATGTCAAACAACTGCTTTACATTCTGGGTAAAAAATTCTACTTTGTCTTCAATATCATGGATGTAGTACAAATCATCCCAATGTATTTCTGACAAAATATTTAAAAAAGAATTTTCATCAAAATTTTTATAATCTCTCACTGTCAAAAACTTTTCAAACCCTTTAACCCAGGATATACTTACTTTACAAAATGTCAAGAAATGGTCACTCACGCCATTTGAATCCATTGTACCACTTTCCCTTACTACCTGACTATCATTTACAAAAATCGGATCGAGCAGTGTAGCAGTTGTGCCAGTTACACGGGTTGGCTCATCAATCACCTGGATAAACCCGTAGCTATCAAATAACTTATATACAGGATTATAAATATTGAACATATTTATGTTTAAATCTCCAAATACAACAATGTATTCATCTATGGGTAAAAGTTCTGGTAGTAGATCGTCCAGTACATTTACACACTCCGCTACATTATTTCCCACCCTATAGATTACACCAACAGATATCGAAACTGTTTTTTCCAGATTTATACGTAACCAATAGTGCTCATAGCCTTCAATAATTAAGGGACTTGATAAATTCAGACATTCACATCCCAATGAGCTTTTCACATAAAAACCCACTCCACCACCTCTGCCCTGACCTCGATCCCTTCTATAAAAATTGTATCCAGGAATCCTCAATAAATCAGATGCTGTGTCCTCTGTCAGCCAAGTTTCTGTCACCCCCACTATATCAAAACTATTCCTCTGAACTAGGCTTACAAACTCATTGAAGCCTGTAAAAATGGATCTCAAATTTAAATGTGCCAAGCTAAGTACAAAATTTTTAGTTTTAGTATGTTGGAATGGTAGTGCCATAGATTTAGTTTTATAATTTGATCCCTATACAAATATAAATATACCTATATATATATAGTACAACGTCTATTTATATATATATATATATATATATATATATATAAATGTATTTATCTATACAATCACCCAGTCAGTTAACTTCTGTAGATCCAACATAGTTCATCCTAACAAGACAATCTCTGTCAAAGGCATCATGTGATGTACTTAACTTAAGAAATATATTTTTTTGATTACCTTTAATACAATTGACACATTTCAGATCTGCTGACTCACAATCCTTGAATGAATGATTTCCTGAACATCTGGAACAAACCTTTGCTGCTGAGCAGTCTTTGGCCCAATGGTTAAATCCCATGCAATTATAACACTGCAAAATGTGCACATGATTGAACACATATGCCCTGGACCACCCAAAATTGATTTTCACTCTATCTAGAAGCACCTTGTGAGTTATGGGATCTACTTCAATAATGAGGTCTACATTTTTGTGTCTATTTTGACTCCTTTTCACAACTCTCATATGAAAGCTATTATGACAAGTTAGGTTATTCCATTTCACAATTTGTTTCACAATGTCTTCATCACTTTCATCCCTATCTATGTCAGAGCCATTTAGGTTTGCGACTTTAAGCTTTGGTTTTCTCATAGCAGGCTCTGCAATAAGATACTCTGCACCCAAAGTCTCCTCCAATTTACTTCTTAGAGAAACAATCTCCTTTCGATCCTCGCAGCCAATAATCACAGCCCCATCTTTGCCTTGCCGGAATTTTGAGACACTTATTCCAGATGGATTGATCCTTTGTCTAATTTCCCTCTTTGTTTCAGCACTTTCTTGTTTTTGTTTAGGCTTGACAATTATTATAGACTCTGGTTTACATTTAACCTTGTCAGCAAAAGATACATGACTTATTGTTTGTGACCCTGGAAATATGGCAGTGGAATTTTTATCCTTGAGATCGGTGATTTCTTTCTTCATTTTACATAAGTCGCTCTTTAAGACTGTGCATTCATTCTGATACATCTCGCTTTTTTCCTGCAGCTGGCTGACAAACACTTTCAACAAAAAGTTTTCCATTTCAGTTCCTTTCAGTTTGTTTACTTCTGCCAAATTGTAGGTTATATTTTTAGCACAACAAATAACTCTGATATTATCAATCACTGCCAGTTTTTTCCTCTGGGAACAACTCCAATGATAAACTCCAGCACAAACTACACATATTACTGTAGAACTCATAAGATTAGCCTTCTTTTTAGCACAACATTTGAAAAAAATGTCGGGAGGTTCGGAAATATCAACATCAGAGTCCGCCATCTTGAATGTACCCACCTGATGTAGGACCATATAGACTGTCTTTTCAACATTTATATTTTATATTGAGTTTATTGTAGGAGAGCCAATCAAAATAGTGTACTAGATCTTCATTCACAATATTTTTAACTTCTTTTCCATTTCCTCCAGAGTATATGAAGACACTATCATCACCAAATTTCACATATTTAGACCTCAATCCAGCATACTTCAGACTTTGAACATATAAAAGGTACTCTAAAGGTCCTAGTACTGATCCTTGGGCAATACTGACAGTTACATTTTCAGCACTGCTTATTTCATCATTGACTTGGGTGCAGTTTTCTGCCCATTGTGTTCGTTTTCAGCAAGTTATGGCATTTCCCTTGAAATCCCATTTTCTTAAACTTATCTAGCAACAATGCAATATCCACAGTATAGAAAGCTTTTTTGCTGATCGACAATATTATCTGATAATTTGCACTAGTGCAAATTATCAGATAATTACAATCTGATTGGTTCAAATCAACAATCAAAACATGTCAATTTATTGTTGGAATACCAGTTTTGACAGATGTATGAAATTCTCTAGAATATCCACTGTTGCCCCGAGAGTACTACTTCTTTTTTGAAAACCATACTTACTGGTGACTATCAAAGTTAAAGTGCATATCAATGAATGAGACAAATCAGGTTTTTATAATCTTTTCTGTCATCTGGCTAAATGTACTCAGCAGTGATATTGGTCAGTAATTATGCAAATCGTCATATGCGCCCTTTTTTTACACCAACTCAATGTTTCCAGCCTTTAGTTCTTCAGGATACTGTACACTTTCTAGGATGTGGTTGATAATTTCTACTATTTTAGGTCCGATAATGTCAAAAAGGGTATTTTTGTTATTTTGTCCAAACCAGGAGTTCAACTGCATTTTAGCTCTTTTATTGTTTTTTCGACTTCTATTATGTTTCTGTGTTGTAGTAAAATGCTTCCTCTTTCTTCTTCTTCTTCTTGAAACGTTATTCCCATTCTGCTATTTATTTTAGTTGCTGATGTCAATCCGATTCCTGAAAAATATCCATTAAAACCTGCTACAATATCTGCATCCTTGCTGTATATCTTTCCATCTTTATCCGTTACTCGATTTATATTCATATTTTTATTAGTTCTATTACAAAGACCATTCAGTACTTCCCACGTTTTCCTGGCATCGCCCTGTGCTTCATTAAACTTCTTTTCCCCATATTCTTTTTGTAATTTAATTCTAAGCCTATTCTAAATTATTTTTCGAATCTTTAAATTCTTTCTCAGGGTGTTCGTTTTGTATCCTTTTCTATATCACATATAATTGTCCTACAAATTATCATTTTTCACTTTTATCATGGCCTGCTTAGTACATTCTTTTTTTGTATTGTTTATAAGAGCTGCCATTGGCTCATATGAATAAAACAGGAGTAAATGCTTCTATTTAAGTTTTTTGAGACAAACATATTCAGTTTTAATACAGCAAAAAGAGATGGAGGTCGAGTAAAAGCATTTGCTACATTTTATTCATATATGACTGATTGTCTCAAATTTATTAATATTTATTATTATTACCCTCATTTATGTTTTCCTGTACCTTGATTTTCCATTTTCTGGTATCGTCTATCTTTTGTAATTTTTGTTTGGTATCTTTAACTAAGATTTTTTTCGACCTCCAAAAATATGATTCAATGGTCTGAAATTGTGATCTTCTATTTTCATGTTACATTGTATATTTATATTAGTTATTATATGATCAAGTATGGTGGCTGTGTTTGATGTTGTTCTTGTGGCATTTTGAAGACTGATTATATTTAGAATTTTATATCCATTCATCTTCAACATATTTTTATATGTGGTAACTACCTATAAATTTTTTAGGTTATCTAGGTTAATATCATCAAAAAACAGTTTGTCCGCTTCTTATATAAATAATTTGCTGTTGTTTTTTGGAGGTCTACCTATATACATCAAAGACTGCTGTAGTAAATATACAGAGACCACGCTATATTGTCATACATGTTGTTGATTTGCTGTTCAATATGTATGTTATTTCATTTTTTACATAAATGCTTGCGCCTCCCCCCCTAGTAGTTCCACAATCATGTACAGTGATGCTTGTTGAATTAGTTCTTCACCAGGGTAGATCCATGTCTCTGTAAGCACAATTATGTGTATCACTTTTTGACTTTGTAGTAGAGTAAAAATCAAACGAGAAGAAGCCACACGCGTTATCGTTTGTCTCACTTTAAATAGGAGGGACCCAGAGAAAAGGAAATCTGCCTTCTTAGTCAGCGCTGACGTCAATGGCTTCTTCTCCTTTGATTCTTACTCTACCATGTCATTGAGATCACTTATTTTGTTTCTACCATTTTGACAATTGCTCTTTTTTTATGTTTTACTAAAGTATATTCCTAATGGATTTCAATTATTCAATATCTTATTGGCTTCTTATTTTAATGGGCTGGTCGCTTTCACCTTTCTGTAGATATACTTTGCTATTTCTGACAAATGCTGCCTTATAATTGTTCAGCTTCTTATAATTCCTTGCTTTCTTGTAAATTAGCTGGTTTAGACCTGTCAGATCTTCATTGAAGAATATGTTCTTATTTCCCAAGCAAGCTTGCATCTCATCAAATATCTTATAAATGACAGAAGTGTTTCACATTTGACGGAATTAAATGCTGAGCTTTGATAACATGTAACATGTAGCACATGTCACTATGGTACTTCACGTCTTTGTTTTTGCAACTGCTTCGTTAGAGTTACTATTACTTAAACACAGAAAACTCTTGCAAACTATAATAATATACTTTTTTACATAAAAAGCTCTTCAAAGCATTTGTTTCCATAATTTCTCTATAGTAAATAGGTGAATGATTAAATACTTTTTTCAAGACTTTCTTACTTTTTTAGAATAGATAACTGAGCTTGGTGTCAAGGAAGATTATTAGGATTGGTAGGGGAATAAATAGTTTTCGTCTATGTTCATGAAATCTTGACAGATCTATCTTATAGTAAAGTTTCTTGGTGTCTCTAGAATAAAAATACAGTAAAGTGTCTACATTTGATGCTTTAAGAATAGTGGTCTACAATGATCTTGATATCCTCGTCCACACAGACCCCTTATTTTCCTTTTTTGTACAACAAACACTGAATCAAAAAGTGTCTGTGAGCAGCATCACCAGAATCAGAAGTATGGCCAAGTTAATTGAATAGAGTTCATATGGCATATCACCAACTTAAGAGTTAACTTTTTAATGTCTTACTTTTCTGTTCCTTTTCCTCTGCCAAATGTGAACTCTATCGACCAAAAATACTTTGTAAACTTGCCCCTGATTATGAGGTTTTCTAGCCTCGAAACATGTAGGGTTCATTTATGTGATTGAAGTATTTTGTGGAGGAAGACTTTGGGTGGTATGAATAAAAACGAAGTACATGCTACTACTACAAGTATTAGTATATTCTTCGAAGTATCTACTTCACAAAGAAGCATTTACTAATTTCCGGTAGTTTAGAAATGTAGTATCTACTTCGTTTTGAAGTAAATACTACGTAGAACATACTAATACTTGTAGTAGTAGCAAGTACTTCGTTTTTATTCAAACGACCCTTTATGTTTTCTTTTGGAATTAAATTTCAACTACACTTTGAGAGATGAACTACCTCTTCAATTTAAAATCTATAATAGATCATTATCTGCAGGAATTTTTCCAACAATTTGGAAAACTAGTTTTGTGATCCCAACTTTTACGAGTGGTTACAATTACAACATTGAGATTACAGGCCAATTTCACCAATTTCTATAATTGTCAGAACCTCGGTCAGAACAACATGGTTTCATGAAAGCAAATCCACAATAACTCTTAGCACCAGACAGCAATAAGTGAAAAGTCGTGTGTTTCTATCAAGGTTTCCATAGATCTAAAAATCCACATTTCAACTATCTTGGGTCTTATACAGGGTGTCCCCGTTCAACTGGTCAAAAATGCTACGGTATATGGTATATAGACGAACCATAGAGAAGTAGTTTGAGATAGGACAGCAATTTAAATGATAGGTGGTTATGTAACTTTTTAAGGAATTGCAGTTGATTTGATTTATCCAGGGACGATCTTGCAGCACATGTGGCGTACCATTTCTTCTCCAAATCATTCAACACATGTGTTGCAAGTCCGTTCCTGGACAAATCAAATCAACTGCAATTCCTTAAAAAGTTGCGTCACCACCTATCATTTAAATCCTGAAAATTTCAACACCCTGTATTTTGAAAACTATGCAATTCCGACCATCAGTGTCCTATCTCAAACTACTTCTCTATGGTTCCTCTATACAGGGTGATTAACGTAGCCCGTGCATTAGAAGTTTTGAGCTTGCAGAGGGATTAGAAACTTCAAATTTGGTTTGTTGCCATAATCAATCGTTCCGGTGTCGCCTTAAATATTTCAGATCTTCAACTATACAGGGTGCACCAAACGTAAGCACTAACTTTCTTTCTTTGTTCAAATATAAACATGCATCTATTTCAACATAGTTCGGTTAGCATTGCAATTTTGAGTTTCGGTCACCCAAGTTTTGTCAACATATCTCTTATAGTTTTTGACATAAATGTCATTTTTTAATTCAAATTGAGGCTGCAGTTGTTTAAAAAAAACAAGGTTTCCTGAAAACCGTTCCAAAATAATGACCCAAATTAAGAAGATAATTAGCTGAAAGCTTAGGCTAATTCCTGTCCCCTGATGTGTCATTAGTGCGCCCATTTCACACCATATTGGTGCAGGCGACCTGCAAACAATTGGAATCAATAATGGTCCTTCTCCTCCTTCCTGGATGTGTCAACAAAAAAAAAAAAAAAGAAAACAACAACAGCAAAAATCGCTCGAAAAATAGTTATTTTTCTCCGAACTACATTTGAAGCGGGTATTTATTGATACTTGACAGGCGTGAAAGGTGTATTTTCACTGCCTAGTGTATGTAATGTAAAATTCAATTTTCTTTTGAATAGTGCCAACAACAAAAAAAACATGATAAGTGACATTTAAAGAAATTGACTTTTTGACCATTATTGATTCCAATGTATGTAGGTCGCCTGCACCCATATGGTATGAAATGAGTGCATTAATGACACCTCAGGAGTTAGCCTGAACCTTCAGCTATTTATCTTCCAAATTGGGTTTATTATTTTAGATCGGTTTTCGAGAAACTTTGTTTTTTTCTAAATACCTACAGCGGCAATTTATAACAAAAAATGTCATTTACGTCAGAAACTATAAAAGATAGATTGACAAAACTTGGGTGGTCCAAACTCAAAATTGCAAGGCCAACCGAACTATGTTGAAAAAGATGCTAGTTTCTATTTGAAATAAGAAAATTAGTGCTTACAATTGATACACCCTGTATAGTGGAAGATCTGAAAATCTTTTAGGTGACACCAGAGGTGACACCGGAACGATTGATTATGGCTACCAACCAAATTTGAAGTTTCTAATCCTCCAGCAACTTTGAAAACTTCTAATGCACAGGCTATGTAAGTCACCCCTGTATACGCTAGCATTTTTGATTAGTTGAATGGGGACACCCTTTACATCATTAGGGATCTTGGCGTTTTTCTAGACATGTAATGAATTTTTCCAAACATTGAAGAAAAAGTTATTATTGGGATTTGTAATGCGTAACTTAATAAGATTTACACCTTAACAAATGCCTATTTAGTTATAGTTCACCAAAAATCATTCAGAATTTATACAAAAACGTAGTTACAATCCTTCTACTATTGAACTATCCTGCTCGTATTTTCTCTTACCTAATTATGTTTTTTTTTTTTCAGGCACAAAGGCTTAATGCCGAAAAAAACCCAAATCACAAGCATGTGATTTTGTATACTTTCTATAGGTTAGATAGTTTTTAGTTATTATAGTTATTGTTATTAGAAGTTAGAGTAAATGTTATTTTTCAACAGAAATTTTCCATAATTATTGTGGTTGAAAGTTTATAGCTTAGACTAGTTATTGTTACCTATTGATATTGTAGAATATAATTGTTTTCACATAGATAGTTGTTTGATTTCAATAGATTTTTTTTAAAAATCATGCTTCATAAAAACAAGTTTTTACCTGTCAAAGTTAACAACTGCGTGCAAGTCTCCACATCATGTAATATCGCCAAACGATCCCATGAAGCTGTAATGGCCAGTTCTGCGCCGGCTAACCATTCAGCAGCTGCAACTGCACCGGAATGTCCCATCAATTCGCCAATCGGTGTTCTCAGGGAGGCACCCCGTTGTGGCCCACCTACATCAGGAGAATCGTCATTGGGAACCAGTTGTTCGGTGCATTCGTCCAGTTCTTCTTCTGATGAATGACCTTTCTATATTAAAATAAAATTATTATTTTGTTGAAGCGTTAATAGATTTTAAAGACTAACTGGCAAATCCCAATTGAGAGCAGCTTGCCAAATGTGTGCTATACCATCTCCACCGGCTGTAAGAACTAAGTCCTTGGAAGGATGGAATCTAATTGAATTTACTGAGCCTGTATGACCCTGATATTGAAGTAGACATTTTGTTGACTCGATGCTCCAAATACATGCAGTATGATCTGGAAAACACAAGTGCAATTATTTCAATAATTGTTAAAAAAAAATAGGTATTTTACCTGCAGAAGCAGTACCAATGACAGGTATTCCAGGTCTAGCAACTGAGACTTCCCAAACACCATCCTTATGTCCAACATATTCTTTGACCAGTCCAGAACTGTATTGAGGAGCTTTGAAGCTTGAGACAATTTTGCTTGTTTGAGCTTTAAGTTTATGAGCCGTTTTGGATTTCTGAGACGAAGAACTTACTACAAAATATAATGTTCCATAAAGTAACGATTGAAGTTCAAAAAGGCATATTATTTACGCTTTTTGGAGAGCACTTTTGGCAAATTAGTTTCAAAATCTGGACAATCTGGTTTATCAAATGCATCTTTTTCCAGCTTTTCGTTTAAAATTTCAATTTTGTCTTGCACTAAAACAAAATAGTCTAGAGCCTAGTTGATTAAATGGAAAGCACGTTTAAGCTTACAAGTTTGGTTTTCTTGATACAACAAATCAAATTCTTTTTCAATTTGATTAAACAGTACATGTAGTCGAGTTTTATAAGTCAAAGACAAGGAATCATTCTCCATATCACTCCTGAATCCAGTGGAAAAATCGCTATCCATAATTGTAGCACTTTGAGGGCGATTAAAAGATCCCCTTTTGTTTTTGTGTATTTTACTGTATGGTGTATTTTGGTTGACTGACATGTTGACGATGATGAGCACTTTAAAATTGCTGAAATTAAACATTAATTAATGCAAAAATATTCCCATTAATTCGCTTAAAACTGGTTTTTAAATATCCTAATAATTGCCGACTTTACTACTTACAGCTATTATTATACAAAAATACTGGGATTTTCCAAGTACAAAGGTAAATTAAATTTAGCAGCTGGTGATATTTATCCAATTCCTACAAAAATTCATTAATTTCTTATAGTTTATGAACGAATCAATCGACTGGAGGTCAAGGTTTTTAATTTTATAGAAAAATCTATTATTGTTTTTATTTTAAAAAAAACAAATAATGACAGCGAGCTGACACTGACAAACTGATAGAATTGGCAACATTGCAGTGACCAAGGATGATTACAAAAACTGGAATGGCAACGTTGCATTTAAATGAATGAATGGCGAATTTCAGGTGTCACTGTATTTCAGGTCTGTTCCCACAGGAGTCTCTGACAGTTTGCAAACTGTCAGTAAGAATCGCCCATACATGTTTTCAATGCTGTCGTTCCAAGATCAATCTGTAACTCAGCTGAGCGATTGTTTCTGACAGGTTGCAAACTGTCGGAGACTCCTCTGGGAACAGACCTTTCGACGCTTCAAACTTGTAATTTTATTTCATTCTAGGGATGTAGGAAACAGACAAGAATCGTAAGGAAACAGACACATTTTTGTTAAATAAGAAACCATTGGTTTGCTTTTATAATTTAAAAAAAAAGGCCAAAATTTAATAATTCCTTTCTGAAAAAAAAGAAGAGTCGAAAAAGAAGAAGAATTAGACAGAGAAGAGAACCTAACCTAATTTCTTTGTTTATGTTATGTTATATCATTTCAGTCTTTTGTTGTGTTCTAAAAGTTTTAAAAATTTTAAAACAAAATGAATCCCTGATAAAATGGTTTCAAAATGAATCTCCCGTCATTATCGTTTTTGTTTTTTTCCCATACTAAACCAAAATTGTGGCAAATATGCAAGCCGAGCAGAAAGATTTGATAGTAAAACACTGGACCTCTTTAACTGAGCTTACCGAAGTGCAATCTTTAGCATATCTTCTTGTAGACAAGAAGTTATTCACTGGAAGAGAGGTAAACAATATCTTTTCCACCCCTGATGAGCGCCAAAATAAGGAGAGGTTCTTCAATGAGTTGCAAGACAAAGAAGAAGCTGCTTTCGATGTTTTGGTACAATGGTTGAGAACAACTGGCCATAATAGGCTTGCACGTAAACTTGCAGCCGAACAACATGGAATTACTCCATTCAAAGAACCAGACAACGAAGAGGACCAAAACGAAGATGATGATGACGATTTCACTTCTTCAATCGAAGCAGAATTGCCATTTACTGTTAATGAGAGTAGAGATCCCTTGAAAATCAACGTACAATTATCTAACGAGTTTCTTGATACGCAACAACGCAATCCACACGTACCATTTTATAGTAGCAGATCTAAAAACAGGGGACGAGTTTTAATTATCAATAATTATGATTTTGCCAGTCTAAATCATAAAACTCGTACTGGAGCCAAAGTTGATGAGGACAATTTGAAGAAACTTTTCGAACAAATGGGAGGATGGGTAAGGAACTACGTTTCAATTTATTTAATAGAATAGGAATTGTGTTTATATTATGATAATGTAAATAGTTTCCCCTCAAGTTTCCCTTTTCCCTAATTTTTTCACAAGCTTTTGGCTTGTTCCAATAGTAGAGTGCCATGGGCGAGGCCACGGGGATCGTACCTTGTCACCCCATAGGCACTTTTTATTTTATAGGGTTTGACTTTGGAAATGAATTTATTTTTATTTTTTATTTTTTTACTGCCTAGAGCTTACATTACTACAGCTATCACAGCTATTACAAACACTACAAATTAAAAAAAGTATAAAACAATTAGGAACATTCTATAGATTACTTGTTGTCTTGAACTCGTCCAAGCCTTAAGGTCACAAATCAATTTTTTTCAACTAAGATCATCCCGCAATTGAGCTGAAAATTCCATACATCTTGGCATAAAATTACTTATTAAATTTTCCTTACAAATTATATTTCTAAATTATTATTGAAAATTTAAATTAACGTTGGCGCTTATCGGCTAGTCATAAACAAAAGTTGCTTTATCTTGGTTTCATATACTTAATAGAAAAGTGGTTTCATATTATCAGAAAAGTAGAGATCCTTAAGGTCACTTCACATTCATCCTGCGATATCTTCGAAACAATGCGGAATATCTTTCTTTTTTTTTCTGCTATGGCCGTTTCCAGCAACTATGTATTTTAGGGGAGCCTTAATGATAAGGATTCCTTTAAATGACAATCTTCCATGGAGAAATGTCAGTTTAAGGAATACTTATTGTTAAGTCTCCCCTAAATTAGTTGGTGGAAACGGCCATGAATGAATTACTCTTTAAAGCTTTAGGGATGCATTGGTACCTATCTTATAATTTAGAGTAAAAAGTGCTTCCACTAATTGAATAAATATGATGTATAAGGTTAGTCAATGCGTAATACGCTGGCTTCCGCTTTGTGAGTCATCCGTCTTATCATCTCATTACCATTGTTATTACTTAACAGGTTGACTGCTGACCATATTTTGAGTCATTCTTGTACGCCGTTAAAGTTTTATTTGTTCTGTTTGGTATCCATGTTTAGCGACGCAAAAAATAAAAAAACGTGTTTTCAACTAAAACACATGCTGTACTTAAATGTATTTAGAAAAACGCCGAAGCGGCTGCGACATTTATTTAATAGTTGATGGCCATTTTTTATTTTGAAAAAAGACATTATGTCGGTAAGTAGCACCTTTTCGTTTGTTTCAGATATTTCTTCAAAAATAATGCACCAATGTGTTGTTTATGGTACAAAGATTTTGGTCTAGTCTATTTTTAAAAATGTTTTTGTTTGGTGCATTTATTGTTTCTGGCTTCAGGGAATTCCATTTATAGACTATGCGATTAGTTTTTTCTCCTTTTTAAATTTTTGGTGGCGTTCTCGTAGGTTTAAGATTTGATTATTTTGAAACATATCTTCTAGTTTTAGGTTTGTAGAGTAGTAGCCATTTGGGATCTTATATGTTTCAATAAGGTCTCCTCTTTCCCTTCTTTCTCTAAGTGTTGTTAACTGAAATCGAGACTGAAATTTTTGTAGTATTGTTTTCTCGCTTGTTTCTTAGGGTAGGTTTCTCAGTTCTTTTGGAATTTTGGTTATTTTTCTCTGAAGACTTTCTAAGAGATTGATGTCTTTGATGTAGTAAGGAGTTTTGGTCTAAAGTAAGTGGTGTACAGTTTTCATTTTCACGGTTAGCTTTTCAAATGCTTTTCTCATAAGGTAGGTATATTAGTTGATTTAACTGTGTGTCCTATATGGGTTTCGGGTTTCTCATTTCAGATCATCAGTGACATAGAGCCCTAGGTCTACACTTTTTTTTCATTCAGTTTTAGCTGCCATGTAACTGTCCATTTCTCTAGAGTACTCATGTCTTCCTTTAGTTGATGCAGTTGTGTTAAAGGATTTCCATATAGTTTTTTGTCATCTGCAAAAGATTCTACTTTGGTTTGAATAGTTTTTGACAGATCAGAAATGTACACTATAAAAAATAGAGAGGCAAGTACAGATCCTTGTGGTACTCTGCTGATGAGCTGGTTCCATTTGCTTAAACATAAAAAGTTATTTGCTAAGAAATGAGCTGCTTGTAACAGGGTCTCTCGTGTGGAACTGCATCGAAGGCTTTCTGAAAGTCAAGACATATTACGTCGATTGACTTGCCTTCGTCTAGATTTGTGGACCAATTATCTAGACAGCTGAGAAGATTTCTTGTAGTAGACCTTTCTGGCATAAGGCCATGCTGTGTAGGAGGTATGATGTCATTTTCTAAGATGAAGGATGTTGTTTCTTTTACAAGATTTTATTTGAGTACTTTGGAAAGTGTGCAGGTTAGGCTGATGGGTCGTTTTTGTCACTACTTTTGTAAATCGGTATCACTATAGCTTTTTTCCAGATCTCTGTTATGGTTCCATTGTCTATTGAATCTTGGTATAATTGTGGTAATATACTGCTAGAGATTTGTTGGACGTTTGCTGAAAAATTCACATAGGAACGAAATAATGTGTTAACATCGAGGGGCGGTTAAAATCTTTAAAAATCTAACAAATCTCACAAAATTTCATTGGAACAAAAAAAATCCGGTAAAATCTTATAGAACCATTAATATACCTGAAAAAAAATTCCTTCAAAATTTCCAAAAATCCTTTGGAATCCCAAGAATCCGTTAAAATCTCTAAAAATTCTCTAAAACGCTTCAAAATCACCTAAAATCCTATAAATCTTAAATCTTTTATAATCTTGTAAAATTATGCGAAGATTTCCAAAATCCTCAAAATCCTACAAAATCAATGAAGATTTGACATTTGTGTACATATTTTAAGGAGTTAACACCCCCTTGGTTAACATTTATTCGTTTATTTTCGCGAGTTTATTTTGTTTCAAATATTTGAATATTTTTTCCGCCTTTCTTGTCTGCACGAACTCAACAATGATTCCATTTCTTATTTAACTTAAATCAAAAAAATTTACTTGATGTACGTTTAAACTATTTAGCCATATCCATATCGTATTCTGTCTGAAAACTTTAATTTTGTGTCAATTTGTAAGCCCAGAAACTTTGCAATTGGTCTAAGGATGGGTTTACTGGTTTTACTAACATCAAACGACAGGGAGCTAGAATCACACCATTGTTTCACCAGCCTTAGATCCACTGATAATATCCTGTTATTCAATGTGTGTTTGTCTTTTTCCCTTCACAAGATAGTTGTGAACCTCGTCGTGAACCTTGTGTGTAGCACTCCATAATCAAAACCCCAAATGCATTGCACCTCACTTCACCTTTCTGAAAGGTATACTTTGAACAGTTGAACCAAACCCAAGTAAACCCCTAATGGGACTTACAAGATATTAGATACAGATACAAATGTTCGAGGAAACTAAACATTGCATCACCCGTGCACCTGCCTGCTTGAAACCCAAACTGAAAGCAGTTTAGTATATGATTTCTGTCGAGATTTCTTTTCTAAAAGGAGATCATATCTCCGATCATACGCTTTTTAACAATTATCTCAATTACCATTAAACGAACGGGTAGGCAAAACAAATAAGTCAAAAATGGAAAGGGTCGTCAACCCAATCATCAAGCAGATGACTGTTTATCATGTTAATTTTCCAGGAACTTTTTTTCCGCAAACCAAAAAAGGGCCCCACAGACTACGATGAAACACGACGGTTTTCATCGCTGCGATGAAACATGTCGTTCCAATACCGAAGTGCGTGGTAGAAAACCGTCGTGATTTTCTACCACACACTTCGGTTTTGGAACGACACGGCGATGGAAACCGTCGTGTTCCATCGTAGTGTGTGGGGCCCTTTCACTGACCATTTGCGATGCAGCCAGTCAAAGCACGAAAGGCTGGTAATTTGCTTAGAAATGCTGCCGAAACTGTCAGTTCATATATCAGTATAAACCGAGGAATAAACCTACATTTGTCTTTGAATCTTTAACCAAATTTCTAACGAGACTAGATTTAAAAAATGCCAACAAAATAGGTACATCTGGCGTTTAGTGGTTGATTTGAAGTCACTTGAAACCTCGCTTGAAACTTTCAGGATTTATGAATTGAAGTTTCCCCTGTGGAAAAGTTAATTTGAAGCTCCAAACTAAATTTAGAAGCTTGTTCTCACGTTAATGCATGCAAAAATGATTAAAATCTGCAAAAATCACTTGTGCAAAATACTTTCAATGATCACAGTGCCTTGAAACTTTCAGGATTTATGAATTTAAGTTTCCTTTTTGTGTAAAAGTTAATTTGAAGTTGATTTGAAGCTGCAAATCAAATTTAGAAGCTTTTTCTTACGTTAATGCATGCAAAAATGATTAAAATCTGCAAAAATCACTTGTGCAAAGTACTTCTAATGATCACAGTCACTTGAAACTTCCAGGATTTATGAATTGAAGTTTACTCTTCGTGGAAAAGTTAATTTTCAGCTGCAAACTAGATTTAGAAACTTTTTCTCACGCTAATGCATGCAAAAATGATTAAAATCTGCAAAAATCACTTGTGCAAAATACTCCCAATGATCACTGTGACTTGAAACTCTCGGGATTTATAAATTGAAGCTTCGTCTTTGTGGAAAAGTTAATTTGAAGTTGATTTGAAGCTCTAAACTAAATTTAGAAGCTTTTTCTCACGCTAATGCATGCAAAAATTATTAAAATATGCAAAAATCACTTGTGCAAAATACTTCCAAAGATCACAGTGACTTGAAACTTTCAGGATTTATGCATTGCAGTTTCCTCTTTGTAGAAAAATTAATTTGGAGGTGATTTGAAGCTGCAAATCAAATTTAGAAGCTTTTTCTTGCTTTAATGCATGCAAAAATCACTTATGCAAAGTACTTCTAATGATCACAGTCACTTGAAACTTTCAGGATTTATGAATTGAAGTTTCTTCTTTGTGGAAAAGTTAATTTGAACCTACAACTAAATTTAGAAGCTTTTTCTTACGTTAATGCATACAAAAATTATTGAAATA